AGTAACAATTTCTGTGTCCTGTTCCCTTGAGTAACAAGTCTGTGTCCCTGTGAAGTAACAATTCTGTGTCCCCTCAGTAAACAATTCTCTGTCTCACTCCTGAGTAACAATTCTGTGTCCCTGAGTAACAATTCAGTGTCCGCTGAGTAACGATTCTGTGTTCCCCTGAGTAACAATTCTGTGTCCCTGAGTAACAATTCTGTGTCCCTCAGTAACAATTCTGTGTCCCTGAGTAACAATTCTGTTGTCTGTCCCTGAGTAACAATTCTGGTGTCCCTGAGTGAACAATTCTGTGACCCTGAGTAACAATTCTGTGTCCCTCAGTAACAATTCTGTGTCTGTCCCTGAGTAACAATTCTGTGTCTGTCCCTGAGTAACAATTCTGTGTCTGTCCCTGAGTAACAATTCTGTGTCTGTCCCTGAGTAACAATTCTGTGTCCCTCAGTAACAAATTCTGTGTCCCTCAGTAACAATTCTGTGTCTGTCCCTGAGTAACAATTCTGTGTCTGTCCCTGAGTAACAATTCTGTGTCTGTCCCCTGAGTAACAATTCTGTGTCCCTCAGTAACAATTATCTGTGTCCCTCAGTAACAATTCTGTGTCTGTCCCTCAGTAACAATTCTGTGTCTGTCCCTCAGTAACAATTCTGTGTCTGTCCCTGAGTAAAACAATTCTGTGTCCCTCTGTAACAATTCTGTGTCCCTCAGTAACAATTCTGTGTCTGTCCCTGAGTAACAATTCTGTGTCCCTGAGTAACAATTCTGTGTCCCTCAATAACAATTCTGTGTCCCTCAGTAACAATTCTGTGTCCCTCAGTAACAATTCTGTGTCTGTCCCTCAGTAACAATTCTGTGTCCCTCAGTAACAATTCTGTGTCCCTGAGTAACAATTCTGTGTCCCTGAGTAACAATTCTGTGTCCCTCAGTAACAATTCTGTGTCCCTCAGTAACAATTCTGTGTCTGTCCCTCAGTAACAATTCTGTGTCCCCTGAGTAAACAATTCTGTGTCTGTCCCCCTGAGTAACCAATTTCTGTGTCCCTGAGTAACAATTCTGTGTCCCTCAGTAACAATTCTGTGTGTCCCTGAGTAACAATTCTGTGTCCTCTCAGTAACAATTCTGTGTCCCTCAGTAACAATTCTGTGTCTGTCCCTGAGTAACAATTCTGTGTCTGTCCCTGAGTAACAATTCTGTGTCTGTCCCTGAGTAACAATTCTGTGTCCCTCAGTAACAATTCTGTGTCCCTCAGTAACAATTCTGTGTCTGTCCCTGAGTAACAATTCTGTGTCCCTCAGTAACAATTCTGTGTCCCTCAGTAACAATTCTGTTTCCCTCAGTAACAATTCTGTGTCCCTCAGTAACAATTCTGTGTCTGTCCCTCAGTAAGAATTCTGTGTCTGTCCCTGAGTAACAATTCTGTGTCCGTCCCTGAGTAACAATTTCTGTGTCCCTCAGTAACAATTCTGTGTCCCTCAGTAACAATTCTGTGTCTGTCCTGAGTAACAATTTCTGTGTCCCTGAGTAACAATTCTGTGTCCCTGAGTAACAATTCTGTGTCCCTCAATAACAATTCTGTGTCCCTCAGTAACAATTCTGTGTCCCTCAGTAACAATTCTGTGTCTGTCCCTCAGTAACAATTCTGTGTCCCTGAGTAACAATTCTGTGTCCCTGAGTAACAATTCTGTGTCCCTCAGTAACAATTCTGTGTCCCTCAATAAACAATTCTGTGTCCCTCAGTAACAATTCTGTGTCTGTCCTCAGTAACAATTCTGTGTCCCTCAGTAACAATTCTGTGTCCCTGAGTAACACTATTCTGTGTCCCTGAGTAACAATTCTGTGTCCCTCAGTAACAATTCTGTGTCTGTCCCTGAGTAACAATTCTGTGTCCCTAAGTAACAATTCTGTGTCCCTAAGTAACGGTTCTGTGGCCCTAAGTAACGGTTCTGTGGCCCTAAGTAACAATTCTGTGTCCCTAAGTAACAATTCTGTGTCCCTAAAGTAACGGTTCTGTGTCCCTAAGTAACGGTTCTGTGGCCCTAAGTAACGGTTCTGTGTCCCTAAGTAAACAATTCTGTGTCCCTAAGTAACGGTTCTGTGTCCCTAAGTAACGGTTCTGTGGCCCTAAGTAACGGTTCTGTGGCTCTAAGTAACGGTTCTGTGGCCCTAAGTAAATGGTTCTGTGTCCCTAAGTATCGTTTTTGTGGCCCTAAGTAACGGTTCTGTGGCCCTAAGTAACGATTCTGTGTCCCTAAGTAACGGTTCTGTGTCCCTAATTAACGATTCTGTGGCCCTAAGTAATGGTTCTGTGTCCCTAAGTAACGTTTCTGTGGCCCTAAGTAACGGTTCTGTGGCCCTAAGTAACGGTTCTGTGTCCCTATGTAAACGATTCTGTGTCCCTAAGTAACGATTCTGTCTGTGGCCCTAACTCTCTCCCTGAATACAGACAGCTCTGCCTCTCTTGAATGGCTGGAGGCTAATGCAGAATTCTAAAATGGCTGCAATTTATAGCTCGACCATTACACAGTGCTGGCTGGCTGGCTGCTGATTGGCTAATGCGATCACACATGTCATGAATGAATGCATAATGGGTCAGCGCGCCTTGTCTGCGCGCCTTCCCAGAGATCCCCGCTCCGTTGCCGCACATGTTGCCGCCATTTTAGGAAAAATTTCGATTCGCGCATCCGAAGTATGATATTTTTCGGATTCGGCGCGAAATTTTCCTAATATTCAAAACGAATTCCACTTCGCCAAGTTCGATTCGCTCATCTATAATTAAAATGTAAAAACAAAAACTCTGCATTTATAGTTGACTATTATCTTATTGATATTAGCAAGTCTTTTATATCTCAGATAGTACTACTCATAGTCATAGCTAATCAGTGGTAGACAAATATATGGTTGATGCCAAACTGGCGACACATTATCAGCAAAAAAGATTACCAAGGTGCAGCAGTCACATTCCCTAATTCAAGTCACTCTCTTGCTGGCTTCATCACCTGTTCACTAGTGATGAAGCAATAATATAATGACACCTTTTTGGTCTGGGCAGTGAGGGAGAAGACAACTTGCTGGGATGGCCAGTGATGGAATGACACCTTGCTGGTCCAACTAAACAAGGAGAAATGATGGAACGACACCTTGCTGGTCCAACTAGACAAGGAGAAATGATGGAATGACACTCTGCTCACCCAACTAGACAAGAAGAAATGATGGAATGACACTCTGCTCATCCAACTAGACAAGAAGAAATGATGGAATGACACCTTGCTGGTCTAACCAGTGAGGGAGTGATGCCATAAGAGATGGCAATTGGTCTTGTTGATGGTAAGTGTTTGCCAGTAAAAGAATTGCTCATGTGATATTGCTCTTAGACTGAGCCAAGACCAGCAAGTAATTGAATGACTTGTTATTGAATGACTTAACCACTTGTTGACAATCTCCATAGCCCCACTTAAAACAAGATGATTCAAGGTGAATTTCCCAGCACATTTATCAGCTAGCCTGCAAAAGAAACAAATTGACCCTGTCCAACAAATCACAGTAAAACAGAAGGTTCCATTGTACGCATTTGCAAATACAATATCTGTGGAAGCAGCAGTCAAGGTTCCTCTACATACTGCGGTCCTAATGCTATAGTTTTGAGAGTCTCTCAGTTGTAGCATATACTGTATAGCAGTGGATAAATTAAGGGCAGGTTTGCCTGGAGGGAGCCCACTTATCCTTAAAGGCACAGGACACATTGGACACCCAGCAAGAGCACAGCAGCTGAAGACATCAAATGTGTCCCCACACCAAATCAACGAACAAGCTATACAAAAAAATGGCACCCACCCCAGCCTTTGCAGTAAGGTGCAAATTGAAGGACAACACACATCACAAAGACACAAACCTTTTCCATCATACTTACCAGCTAGCCTGCAAACAAACTTAAAACTAGATGACTGCACAACAAATGGGTCAGTAGCAAGAGATTAGCTTAAAGATCAACTCCCCTCTGGGTGACCTATGTACATTGCATGGATTTTAACAAACTTTGCTGCATATTTCTACTTGTTTCTGCTCTGAAGAAAAAGCTTTTTGTTTGTTTATGTGCAGAGTGAATGTGAATGGAAGCGACTTTTTAATTATTAATTAATTGATGTACTTACAGTGTTCTAAGAAGGAGAGTTGACATGTCAGCACCCCCTTAGAAGCTATTATTCCTTTGGGAATATCTCATCAAAATATTTTCTTGTTGTTGCAGAGGTTGCCTAAAATCTGACTTGTATCTTAGTGCAGACTTCTGGGAAAATCAATGAGCCAATCACAAAAGCAGGAAATTACATTTCTGGGGGCATTCCGTACACCAAACGTGTACAGAATGCCTACGGGTTACCATATTTCATTACATTTTAAAGAAAATTACAACACTGCTGATTGAAAAGAAAAGGTAATTTTTAATAATATTTAATTACAATATGGCTTGTGTAGCAATTGTATAAGCTATATAATTTTTTTTCCCATGAAAGTGGAGTTACCTTTAAAGGTCACTGTTGGGATAATAGATGCAGGAGATTATACATGCTGATATGTAGTAAAACCCTAATTTCGGTTATCAAGAAATGTGGACATCCACTATTAACTTATTCTGCACTTATATTTTATACATCAGATTTGTCTGTTATTCAATATATATTGGACAGACATGTACAGTATTTCTGACTCCGTAAAAAGAGATTCAAAAAGTGCAGTAAGCCACAGAACCCAATGTGAAACAATCTTTCACTCATCTGATAACTGGAAACCACAGCACTTACAGAAAAAGAGAGATACATACATGAAGATAGAAAAAAATGTTCCATATTAGGTAAGTCAAGTATAAGCGTGTTATTCTCCGCATTGGGATTGGAATGTATTTCACAAGTAAATGAAAAGACCTAAGACATAAATATTTTAAACACGCCACACATGTTACAGGAAAGACCCTTGGGCTAAGGTTTATTGTAATAATAATCTCTCTCACCTCAGACTGTCTGAAAATGCTTCAACTCCAAATTTAGAAATGCAATATCCTCCTCCACAGATAGTCACCCTTCCCACTATACTGGACATGTTAACAATGCGCCCTTTGGATTTCCTGATTAATGGCAAGAGCCTAAGGGTTACATCGATAGGGCCCACCAGATTCACATTAAGAACTCTTTCAAAGTCTCCTTTTGTCAACCATTCATTAGGTGCACCAGGCATCCCTGTTCCTGCATTATTCACTAACCCCCACAGACCTGAAAAGGAAAAAAAAAAGGCATAAATATTAGGAATGTAGTAAAATCACTTAAAATATTGTACATCTGTACATCAGGCAAAAGGGGATATATGTAAGATCTAGTGGTGGGTTATAATAACCCAGCTCCCCAGAGTCCAGGGGTATATATATGAGGATTACAGTAAAGGTGGCCATGGCTCGAATTCAGCAGGAATCAACTGAAATTTGAGCTGTGGGTGGCCCTTTGGCACCTCTACATTTGACAAAAGTTAGTCTTGCAATTAACTTTGGTCAAAGGAGCTGGTTGTAAAATTTTCAGCTGACCATCCAATCAGATGCAAGCACTGTCTGGGTATTCAGTAGTGGCTGGAGTAGTCGCTGCTGAATACAATAGCTGGTAGCAGGGATTCTTCTGCTGTTTCACATGGATGAAGGACTCACTTTCATTGTACCAGTCAATGTCAACATTTGTTCCCACAAGAAACTCAGGCACTTCTGCAGAGTCTACCCACTTCCATTCACTTGCACCTAAATCCCTGAAGAAGGGGCAGTCAACTTGTATATCCATTATCTTTAATAAAAGATTGTAACCTTCAAATGTGGCATTATTCTGGACACTGGAAACTCCTCTCTCTCCATCTGAATACTTCTATCACTAAACCAACATTACAGTCGTGCCAGTAAACACATACCTCTAATAGGAGGCAAATACCACCATTTAAAAATAATGGTGAAGCGCTAGCAGTATATCACGGATAAAGATAAACATAAAATGAGCATAAACACAGCAAAATCGTAAAATACATAAAAATGAATAAAGTGACAATTCAATGTGCTGATCCAATCGGATCTAATAAAGTTCTGTTGATAGTGAACAGGTAAAACCTGTACTATACAAGTGAATCTCACCACGAAGCCACGTCCAGACCAAGATGTCAATACCCTGAGGAAGTCACGTGGTCATGATGCAAAGCGTCGGTACGTCAGTTCCGGAGAAGCACTTCCGGTTGGACGCCATTTTGGGCTCTATTATAGGATCCATGCAGTACACCTATATTAAGTGGTGGCAATGCATTTTTATCTATTTCTGCATGTGAGTGGGCAATTTTAGCTTACTATTTGATGATTAATAAACGGTTTTACACAATGGAGGATGTTCTGTGCTTATGTCGTTGACGGTATGGCTCTGTGGGGAGTGTGACCTGAGATTGCTAGTGACAAAGGACCCCATTCAACATCTTGGTCTGGATGAGGCTTTGTGGTGAGATTCATAAGGTGAGCTGGCCCTTGTGGTCGCTGCTTGGAGGTGAGGGGGCATTTCTGCCATTTAGGATTCCTGTCACCCGGTTTGAAGATCACCTATCACAAGCACATAGTTGTTGATCTGCAGCCATTCTGCATTTTGGATATCCACATTTATTACCAGCACTTGTGCGATTTGATATATAGTGCTTTCTGGACATTTTTATGTTTGCATGTTCATTTATTATTAATCTTTGGGAGTGATTAAATTTTCTACTATTTTTGGTCACTTTTGCTGTGTTTTCACCCCAGAGGGGTCACTTGATTATATACCATCAGTCCCCCATGTGGACAAGGGGTGGCTGGTTTGTTGATTTTTTCCATTTCGGAAAAGGGGTTCACTTGTATGAGTACAGGTTTTACCTGTTCACTATCAACAGCACTTTATTAGATCCGATTGGATCAGCACATTGAATTGTCACTTTATTCATTTTTATGTATTTTACGATTTTGCTGTGTTTATGTTCATTTTATGTTTATGTTTATCTGTGATATACTGCTAGCGCTTCACCATTTTTTTGAGCTATTGCATTGTACCTAGTGAAGTCAGGTTAGGTGACAGCAGCTTCTTGTTAGTGTTTTTTCCCCATTTAAGCGCAGGAGGTCATAACCTTTTTTTTTTTAAATACCACCATTTACCCACGGAATCATGAAAAAAAAAATTCTAAATAACTCAACCAGGCCAGTGTGGTCCCCGACTCCAAATAATCACATGGATGGAGGAATGGATAGATTTATCTCATTCATTTCGAAGGGAGCTGAACAAGAGAAATCTACACATATATGGCCAACTTAGGTGAATTTTACCTTTTCAAGTCTTTTGATTATTTTGATCAGGTGGAAAGCAAAGGAAGCCTTTGTATTCCTCTTAGTTAATGCTCCCTTTGAAGTACAAAGGTTGTATTGGTAGATTGGGTTAGCGACTCAAACATTATGTCACACAAGCTTTAACATACTGATCTACATTCAAAAGTAATTTCCAATACTTTTAAATCTGCAGCTTTCATATCAGTAATACTTGGCGACTCTGCCATGAAGGTTCTTATTCAGGCACTTTCTGTGGACAACCCTATTAATTATAATGGAGACAAGTGGATGGTCCAATATAGATTTATGTAGTCATCACTGGCGTGCATGCGCATAGACAGGAAATGTCTGCAAAGATGCTTCAGGAAATCAGCAGCCCCTTAGATAGCAACAAAGTATGAAAAGAAAATTAAAACAAGTATCTGAAAAAAAAGCAATTGTTTGATACATAATTCTTTAGCAAACAAAATATAATTTAGTTAGGATTTACATTTCTGCTTTAAAATAATTTAGAAATCATACACAATAGGTATTCACACTTCCTGTGTCTTGAATCAGGAAATGCCGGTCTACATTGACCTTTATGTATGATCCGAATAAACTTGTAAAAGGTCAATGAATAATAAAAGCTTGGACCAAAGCTATAATTTACAACTGGTCACACCCCTGTATACAGACAACAAAGCTAACAGTAAACTTTGAGTGCTTGTTGTTAGAACATGGCACATGATATACAGCGGGAGAAGAAGGTCACAAACACTAGTTACAAAGTAGTCTCCCACTATCCTGCCTTTCAATAAATAAGGCTGTATTCACACCTAGGCATTCTGAAAACTGTCTGCTCACTGAAGACCAAGAACTGAGCGATCGGTAGTCTTTGATGGCTCCTTTCCTGGTGTTAGAGGTTGTAGGGACAGACGCAAATGACCAGTTCTGCACCCACCAATGTGAGTATGTGTGTTTGGTTTTTTGTATTCCTAAACCTCTCTTTAAAGTGATAACAAACTGACCATTGTCGCCAACAACATCAGAAACCCATGTAGCAACAGAGCTGACACACCGAGCGTTAGAAATATCCAGGATAACTGTTTGCAGTCGGCTAGATGTCTCCTTCTTCAGATCTTCAGCTCCTTTCTGAGTTAGACAAGTGGCCAAAACTCTCATTCCCCGTCTGTCCAGCTGGCTTGCTAGCTGTTTCCCAAAACCAGAATCACATCCAGTTATGAGTACAAATTTATCTGAAAGATTGTCCAGAATCAAGCCCAGTCTGTGCAATCTGTACAGGATAATGATCATCACCAATAAAGCCACCAGAGGGAGCAACATGATTTCTGAAGGAGTCTGCAATACAAGAGAAGTGAAAGGCACACACAAAGCATAGGACAATTTTGGATTTTTGTATCTAAGTACATTAATATATACACAGCACTGGGAACTCTATCAGCCCCACATTCTTATTTTGTCAACTTGTTATACTGACTTGTATGCATAGTTTATGAACTGACAATTATAAAACGGCTGTATTTAGAATTATGAAATCAAAGCTTGGATCTGTAGCTTTCCTCAAGCATAGATTAATGTGTATAAAAAGCTACATGAAATGACAGTTTCAAAGGGGTGAGCCTGTAATTTTACTTAAATTCATCTCCATGGCTTGTTTTCAGAGATAAACCCATTTATTATTTTTTTCATATCCAGTCATACCAAAAAACGTTGTGTTTGGACCCAACAGTGGCTGTTCGGCTTGGTTTAGGGCGTTCAGCTTGGACAAGTGTGGCAGCTTCCGGTTGTCAATGGTTGCTAAGGAAGCAGCAGGGAGCTTGCACCTGCCACATCCTTACCAATCACTGATATCACCCAGGCTTATCAATGTATATGGCTAGGTATCCCTGGACACGTAAGCAAATGGTTTGGGATCAGAGGGGTTACATCATTGCCTAAATATGGCCATATCTGGGCAATTGTAACACCACTATCCCCGTCCCTTAAATTTCTGATGACAGTCTGGTTTTTTTTTTTCAGGCGAGCATCTGGCATTGTGGATGTACATTGTGGGATTTTGTTTTCCAAATTTCAATACACCCCTTAATCTGAAAATGCCTACAACCACTGGGCTAGTGTTGTGGTGAAACAGCCCTCGTCCTCATCAACACTAGGACAAGATGCTTGCCCCGGCAAGGTGCCCCCCCATGTTGAAGGCATATGGCTTGGCATGGTTCAGGAGAGAGGAAACCACACACTTTTGCATGGGATTCTCCTTTATAGTCCACAGCAGACTAGAGGGGTCCGGTATACAGTTTGTGGGGGACCTCACACTTTTCGTTTTTGGTGGCATCTCACTTAAATTCTATGCCAGACATGAAGGGTCTCTGAATTATGGGGGAACCCCCAACTTGTTTGTGTGTGTGTGAGGGGGGGGGGCCATTTACATCTATATCAGACACTCATCTATGATAAGGTCTGGTATATTTACTAAATATAGAAGCTGAGGGGTAGTTTAATAGGGGTTTACCTACAACTCATACCTGGATCCTTCAGGTTTGGTATACATTTTAAGGAGGACCCCACCAAAAAACACACACCTCCTCTCCTGAATCATACCAGGCCATGTGCCCTCAACATGGGGGGATACTTTGTCAGGGGGTGAAGAGAACAAGATTCTCTTCCCCATAATCATGGCCCAGTGGTCATGGGGGTCTACAGGCAGGGGACGTTATCAAAATCCTTTTTAACAGTATGGTGGCTCCCAGATACTACGCTCCCCACCCATGTGAATGAGTAAGAGGTACCACAAAGTATGCCCACTGTAAATCATGTCCAGTGATGTAGATCCATGTGAATCAAAGCCTGAGGTCCACTAACCCCCCAAAAGAGGGAAAAAAACACCTGCAGATACATGCCCAGGACTGTGGTGGTGCTTCCACTAGGCAAACTAGGCTGCCACCTAGGGCGCACTGTTACCTAGGGGCGCCTGGGAACAGCACAGTGGGATGCCGCCACGTCATGAATGATCCTTCAGCTGAGGGGAGGGGCAGCAGAGGGGAAGAAGAAAGCACAGAGGAAGATGCTGGGTGTCTGGGGCCAGTGTAGTAGCTGAGCTGCTACTCCTTCCAGGATTCCTCTCAGACTCAGTCTCTTACTGCAAACTGGCTGGCCGCTGCTGATCACTGTGGAGTTCTAGCCCATTCATCAGCAGAGGCGGAGATGTCACAGCATTTTATCTCCCCCCTTTACCTGGGGAATTCCAGCCTGGGATCTGTCAGAGTGTGAATCCATCATCCTCCACTCACTGCAACTGTCACCCTGCCACTGCCAGCCACAAATACTGTCCGTCACACTGATTTTGTCTTTAATATTGGTGCTGGTGGCATCTTATGGCATTTATTTTTGTAAATTAAAAGAAATGTAGCAGTTTCATGTTTTGCTGATTTAATATTTTCTGTTTTTAAAAATGTTTTTTTTTTTTTGGTGGGGGCATAAGTAGCTAGTCTTGCAAGGGTGCAAAATAGTCTAGCACTGGCTCTGTACATGCCTAGTCCATTCTCTTCCCTCTGCCAAATGATAAAGTGAACAGATGACAGCCGTTATAGTAAAGGTTTTTTTCTAACCTTGAAAAGCAAGTTTTACTTACCAACATTCTCCATCCATGTCCCTCACTGACACCATTTTATGGGAATAGTAATCCAGAGCTACAGATTTATCCTCATTGCCTTATTCCAAACAGCTCCTTTATGCTGAGATCACCACAGAGACTCCTCTTCTGGATCCTGAGAGAACACCACTGCTAGACAGCCAATAGGATGTGTCCATGTCATGCAGCCAGTAACAGGTACACTTGAAGAAGGACCTGTCCTTTTTTACACGGAAGAGAGAAGACTCATGCCCAGAATGTCATCAGACTGTGACTAGGGTTAGTACAAGGGGCAATTAAGTAGTTCTTTTGTATGCCAAGCATCAATTAGTTGGCGGGGAAAGGTTAGTTGTAAGTAGTATGCTGAAATGTATCTTTTGTCTGGAAATCCTCCAAAAAAATAGCAGTATTACTAATATGTGGGTGTGCCTAGGCACTCCTGTTTCTACAGCCTCATAACTGTATATCTCCTATGTAAGATCTCAGGCACTGCTGCCGCAGACTGCTAGTCTTAGAAGGTTTAGAGTGAGATTAGTGAATACAGACCTTTAGACTAGAACACAGTAATGGTACAAAGTATTGAATAGGGTTAAAACCCCTCCTAATAAAATCCTTCCTTGTCCACACAAAGTGTGTGAGTGATGTTCATTAACGACTTCTTATTTGATAGTTATAATTACTTACTATGCCAGTGTTAATATATACATTAAACCTAAGTATTTGTAAAATCAATAGCACCACTTTCCTATCATTGGGATACACAGACCAGTATGCTACCCCTCACTGAACATCTTTTTTTATTTTGCTGTGCTTCCTCCAAATGTAAATGGGCAGGTTTGGTCTTCCACTCTGTCTTAGGGCTAATATACACTGCAGATGATAAACTCATGTTTAGGAGCTGTTCAGTGTTTTTCAGCAGCCCCTGAACTTACCCTAATGCTTTCCTATGTGTCCATGTACACATCTTCGTTTACAGTCGTTTACAAGCATTTGAGTTTACAGTCGTTTTTTTGAACACAGAAAGCTTGCGTTCTGCAGTTGATTTTATCAGCGTTTCAAATGCAAAATGCTTGTAAATGTGGCTAAACGCGGAAAATCGCGTTTATAAGCGTTTGAACATTTTTTTTAACTCGTCCAGAACCTTGTTCATCATGAAAAATGCATGCAAAGCGTTTTCAAGGTATTCAGATGAACAAAACACTGAGAACAGGATGTTCCTACCAAGCTTGTCACACATTGTAATGACCAATTCACACCTCTCCCACCCTTGGTACAAAAGATATGTTAATGACCATTCACACCTCAAATTCCTCATGAACACCCCCTGCCAGGTGGCCTTAATGACTTACTCTACCAGACACCTTTCCCACCCTTGGAAACAAAAGAAATGTTAATGAGCAACTCACACCTAAGTTAATCTCAACACCTACTGCTGTCTCTGCTTCTACCCTTTGTATTTCTCTGAAACAGTCTGAAATAGTTAATAATTTACCACTTTTCAGTGCATTCTGGGCATTTGGGAGGATCTCCTGCGCTTATCTGTAAAAAAAACACTTCTAAACGCAAAACGCACATAAACGTACATAAACGTGTTATGCAAACGTGGCTAAACAGACATTTTTTAAACTTATGTTTTCCAGCAGTCAGTTTCCATTGTTCAAAAGTGTCCCGTGTTCATGGGGCCTTAGGTCCTGCTCTGCCACATAAAATTTCCTACTTCTTATCCCAAATTAGAAAACAAATTTATACTCATAGGCTTATAGCCTTTTATGCAGAAAATCTAAAGTCACATATGATACTATAGTATTTTCAGAAGCATGATTTCCCTTAAATAAATAGATAGTACTATGTTAGTGGGTGGTGAATGAACAGTGTAAGCCTTACCTTGGTTTATGTCAGCTCTCAACAGATAGACGTCCCATTAAACAAACCTTCACATATATTCATCTTTTCATGTCCTGGATTCAGTCTGCAGATCATTAACTATGCTGGTTTACAGGTCTTGCATTGGCATGGCACCAAACAAGCTAATATGTTAAAGGGAAAATACAAGGGGCACCCAAGTCAAACTGGGACTTTTGAGTTTATATAAAAAAATAAAAAAATTTCAAGCTGTGGAAACGGCATTTAGTTTTTGACATACTACCCTGCTGCATTTATACACTTAGCCCAGCATTTAACGAATGCCTGGAAAGCTTCGGCATGAAAAGATTTGTCAGTATGCCTGAACCATCCTAGGAGAGCCTGCTTCACTTTGTCATCAGTGCTGAAATGCTGACCTCAGAGGAACTCCTTTAGGAGTCCAAACAGGTGGAAATCGCTTGAAGCAAGTTCCAGGGTTGTAAGGGGGATGTGGCAAAACCTCCCAGCTGAGTTTCTGTAACGTGCATGGCGTGCAATGAGCAGTATGAGCTTGTGCGTTGTCCTGGAGAAACAGGACGTCCTTAGTGACAACGTGGTAGAAATTCCACATAATAATGTCACGTTCATCCCAGAAAACACTTGCCATCACTTTACCTGCAGACGCAGTGTC